ACCTCCATAGATTACGGTGTTTAGGGCATGTGTTACGCACGTCACCAAATGGGTTGCCACGACGAGCGATGTTTGCCGAGGCAAGTAGTGAATGGAAAAGGGTCAAGAGCGGTTAAACTAAGATGTGGCACGAGGGAATGAAAACCTTAACCAGGAGTCTGAGTCACACAGGTCCCGTTAGGCTCCCTGGCTGGGGACCTCGGGATGATGGTCACCGATGGTTAGAAACGCTGAGTGATATGTCTCAGTGTCGCAAACAGTGGCGTTTGTGCATCTTGTCAGTTTCTCTGCCGAATTAATCCATTGAAATTCTAAATTTTCTCATTGATATTACCTTCAACCTTTCCCGTCTTTCTCCTAATGTTCATTGAAATGGGCAGTCAAAAAACTGCAAGCAAAACCGGCGCACGACAGTGTAAAGTTAATGGTTGTACAAACTGAAACTGAACTGAACTGTATGTCCGTTGGTCAATCTGCTGTCTTTTTTAAAACTAGTCTACACCGGATAGATCTATCAATCTTAGGTCACCAATGCTTTCTTAGACAGAGATCTACCTACATGTGATGTTGTATCTGAAGTTCCAAGCTTCCACGAAGTCCCGGGTTGACTTGGTAGTTTCTTTTCCGAATATTTTTCTATTCTCCAGCTAGAAGATGTGATACTCCAGTCACGTGGATTGAAATTTGTCTTCTGACTGTAAACATCGACTCAGAGAACGAAGTGGAAATATCACGGTTGGCCCATTCACTTCCAAATTTTTAGGGTTCAGTTTGTATAAACTTTGACCTTGCACGTTCATGCCCCTTCTTCGGCTGCCCATTTGGACAAAGCAGGAGGACGAGAGGTGGAATGTTGAGGGCAGATTCAAGGGAAGATGAAAAATTCATATAGACTGGGGTTGCAAGAATATTGAGTGGATGGAGGACCACCACTGCATGGGACACAGCCATGTCACTCAGCTTCTCTAAACACCGATGATCATGATCTCGGTGTTCCTCTCCAAGTGGCCTTACGGTACCTATGTGACCAAATCTCCTGGATAGAGCTTTCACATCCTCGTGCCAGGCCTTAGTATGATCACCCTTGACCCTTTTTCATTCATTACCTACCTCGGCTAACATCGCTCACCGTGGCAAACTATTTGGTGACATGTGCAATATATGTCCCAGCAAGCGTAGTCTATGGAGACCGACCACTTGCTCCAGTGGACGAATGCGATTACTTGTCTGGTTTCCCTGCCAGACTCATGCAACGCGAAGTAGACAGCGGTGTTGGAACACCGACAATCTATTTTTATCCTGTTCCGGTAATGGCCAAGTCGCTGCGTCGAACTGCTGCAGCATATAGTCGACCCTTCACAGACGGTCGGATTTTGCGACACCGGTGACTTTTTGGTGGTTGTTTACCTGATTTAGGGAGGATCTGGCTCGTAGTAGAGCATGGTCCGTGTCCACCGGTGTTGGCCTGTAAGAGCAGCGGTCTTCAATAGATCCTCGCCAGCGGTAACTTATGGCGATGTAGTCGATTTGGGTCCAGCGCTGTGAAGAGATTGGCAGTCTCCATGTAAGACGGTGACGTTTCTTGTGCGAGAAGTTCGTGCTTGACAGAAACAGTCCGTGGTCGGCACAGAATTGAAGTAGGCGATCGCCGTTGTCCGTCCGATTGGCTGGGATTGCATGTGTTCTACCAAGAAGCCCCTGATTCGTCTAGGGAACCCACTTGGGCATTAAAGTCTCCGGTAATTACAACGATGTCCGTTGATCGAACACTTTTGAGTAATCGAGAAAGGTCCTTGCAGAATTCATCCTTTATTTCTGATGTACTGCAATCCGTCGGTGCATACACCGACACGACGAATAGACCAACGCTTCGTTCTGTAGCTGTTGACCCGCGCTGAACCGTTGAGACGTACGGCGCACAGTGGGTTACTGACTGGAGTCCAGTCGAGCAGCAAGCGTTCAGCCTTAGCACTTAGCGCAATCCCGACACCAGCAACACCGCGAGCTTCGGACGCCGAATCCCCTGACACACGAAAGGTAAAGGGTGAGGGTGAATCAGGAGAATGCAGAGAGCTAATGGAAGTAAGGTCTTTGGGTCAGCGAGGTGTAGGAATCGTACTCAGCGGTAAAGCTGAGGCCTCCGTGATAGATTGGATACCCGTCAATAATCCTTTGTGCGCAATGAGGTTACAGGGTTCAGTTAGTGTTCGGAAGGGTGGCAACACCAAAAGGTGTTTGTTCATCACTTCCGCATATGCATCAACCAACTGCAGTCCCAGGTCACAAAAGGACGAATTTTACGACACACTCACCGAAATCATTTGATTGAGCCGCAGCTCTGATATTATAATGCTGGCAGGTGATTTTATTGTGCAGGTAGGAAAACTGAGCGCATCCGAAGTTTGTCTAGAATACATCGCTCTTCCCGCCCAGCGAAGAAACAACGGTGAACGATTACTTCAGTTCTACAAAGATCACTGGCTGTTTTCTAGCGCCAACTTCCGACACAACTCTTATCGGACGGCAACCTGGTGTTCTAGTTCAACCGACAAATGGACCCAAAATCCCCACAGCTATAAGCTATCGTTGGCGTGGCTCATTACCAAAGTGCAGGTCCTATTGGACTACCTGCTTTGAGTCTGATCACGCACTACTTTCGACGGGCTTTACGTTTCGACTCATCGTCATGGGGACTTTTGGTTGCTCATATGGTGAATTTCTTCGTGTAAGGTGCAAATGAAACGTTAGGAGAAAAAGCCTGGACAGAAGCTATGGGTGGAAATAATGTGGAACTGTTGTAGCCCGGGATGTAGATGTTGTTGTTGGTGTGTTCTCCGAGCTGGAATTGTTGTTCGCGCACGTTTCGTAGCCAGGCTAGGCAACATCATCAGTGCAACTTCGGGTAAACGCCAGTCCTCAGTGTGACCGCACTTATATAGTTCTGTTCGGAGGTTTTGATTGGTCGTATGCGTCCCCTTGATCCTATTGGTCAATTGTGACTATTTGCTTTAATTTGATTGGTCGCGTCGTCGTCTCGTGACGCCCCCTCTTTCCTGATTGGTCGAGCTAGGGACACCGTGAATTGGTTGAGTGGGGATGATCTGGAAGTTTTTCGAA